TCTGAGGCGGGTTTGGACCACCTTTCCAGGACGAGACTTTGGCGGTGCCTGTGGAAGGGCAGAAGGGAGACCCCAAAGGGACCCGTGGCAGGTCTGGGGAACCCTCTCTGTGCCGGGTCTGGCCGGCTGAGCTGCCAGGCGCGCGGACCTCAGCCCCCCTGCTCCCGTCGGTCGGTCTGACCCTCTCCCTTCCTCAGTCCCTGTCCCTGCTGCTGCCGCCAGCGGCCCACCCTGGAGCGGGAGCGGCCAGGGAGGGCCCAGGCCTGGGTCGCAGGCAGCCCTCGTTGCCAGCCCATTATGCTGTATTTATGTTCGCTTTATCGTTTTTTCCCCTCTTATTATGGCCTCACTCTGGGGGAGCAAAAGATATAATATATTCATCTTTATTATACCAGATCTGTGTGGAGCATTTAATAAAGCACTGTTGCCACACAGCCAGGGAGGTTGGTGGCTGCGAAGGCTCGGCTCAGAGAGGTGTGCGCAGGTCCCCATCGGCCCCGGGGCGCCCCCTCCTGGCCCTGCCTGGCACCCCACCCTCCAGCCCAGAGCAAGAGCCCACCGCAGTCCTGGGCCCCAGCCCTCCCAGCTGAGCCACGATTTGCGCCTGTGAGAATGGGCAGGATTCCATGGCAGCCTGTGCGCACAGCTGTGGGAGACGAAGACGCGGTAAGGCTGGGCAGGGTTTTACAGTGGGGGAGGAAAAGCTCGAGGATTTGTTGGGTCCAGAATAGCTGAGAGCCAGAGAGAAAGGAGAGGCTACAGGAGTGGTTCTAGGAACATGGGCCACCTGGGACCCCCGGGGGAGCAGGTCTGAGCCCCTCCAGAGAGGAAGACCCCTGACCTAGAAAGGATCTGGTCTGTCACAGTCCACCTTCAAATAGTCCCCCATGGGCAGGAAAACAGTCACTCTGTGTCCAGACGCGGGTGCCAAGTGAGGCTTGGAAAGGTGAAGTGGCTTCTTTGAGGTGTTGTCTAGGAAGTAGCTGGCACAGTCCCCTAGCTCCGTGCTCCTCCCTGCCCTACACACCTCACTCTCTCTTCCATGGCTTCCCGTGTGTATAAACTTTACCATCCTGCCTTTTACACACACACACACACACACACACACACACACCTGGGCATGCCCATGGGGAGGAGAAACAGCCATAGGACTTTCTACCTCCAGGCCCACAGTTCACTGTCCTTCAGAGCCCCTGCCTGGGTTCTTCAGGAGCCCAGAGTTGGACACTGTCTCGGTCATGCTGTTTGCACTGGAGAAGGCCAGCCGGCCACGCCAGCAGGACTTGTGCTCAAGAAGCTGAGGGGGTCCCGGTCCCCTGATTCCCCCAGGATCCTAAGTCCTCCTCTGTCCCTTCTGCCCATCACCGGCTCACCCCCATCTTTTTTTGTGGTACCAGGGATTGAATTCTGGTCCCTGAGCTTGCGAGGCAGGCAGTGGAACCACCGAGCTAAATCCCTAGCCCTGGGTCACCCCTATCTTGAGAGCTACTTTTGCGAGGCTTGAGGCACTCAGGGAGTCCAACAGCATCCCTAGGTTGGCTGGGAGGAGGGCGCAGTTGAAGCTCTGGAACCAGGTGAAGCTAGTGGGTACCCAGGGCACTGTGTTTAAGGACATGTTTGCTCCAGGTTGTACAGAGCCCTTTCACTCGTGCTGTAGAAAGCTCCCCCTTCTCTCACTCAGCTGTTTGTTGTGTGGCCCCAGGAGACACAATCGAGACCAGTGAATTGATGAGAGGGCACGGGGAGCCGAGGTCAGCCCACCTGGGAACGGCCTGCCCCGCGAAGGGCGGGAGTGTAAGCAGCAGAGGAGGTGCTGTGTGTGGCCAGGAGCTTCCCTCCCCGCTGCAGTGTGCCAGCGGAACTCAGCACCCGATGAGAAGGGTAATCACGCCAGGCCTGCCTGCCATCACCCGCTTTGACGGTCTACTGTCACTTCCTTTGTGTCAAGAGCTGTGCCCACGGCTCTCATTAATATAGAAAACCGTGATTTGGCCAAGGATGGACATGAAAGCCTTTGACCTGTTAGGTCCTTTCCAGCTCTGAGAATCCACTGTTACATAAGACAAAGAGCATGTTGCTGGATTGGTTCGTTGCCATCGTCGTTAATGTATGCAGAATTGCCTTATGGCTGAGCTCTTTGAGGGTTTAGCCAGCCTCCCCCAACCCCTCTCTCTTCCTCACCAATTCCATGTCAATCCCAGTGTCTTGCTATGTAGTCCAGGCTGGCTTCAATCTCACTGCGATCCTTCTGCCTCGGCCTGCCTAGTGCTGGGATTACAGGTGCGCACTCTTAAAGCCTGGCCTTGTGAGTGTATTGAACAAACAAATCTCTAAAAGATCTGGTCGTCTGCTTCCTGGGCCACTGGGGAGCCAATACTGCTCGACAGGCATTGCCTCCCACCCCATGGCCGAGCTGAGTTCAGGCAGGTGCTTCTAGGTCCTCCCCTACACCGTGTGCCCAGCCTGTACCAGCTTGTGAGTCAGGCAGTGCAGCCCAGGTTCTGGACAGACCTCCCGGGAAGCCATTCAGACTGAAGTGTCAGAGAGGGGCAGGGCTCTGTGGCCACCTCCGTGGCATAGCTGGGTCTCGAGCAGTCCTGGAAGGTTGGGAGAGATGGCGCAGAGGGAGGGAGAAGACAGTCGTGAGGTGGATCCGGGCAGCCCTGGAAGGCTCAGGAGCAGGAATGTCAAATAGCAGGCAATCCTGGCCAGGGTGCCTGGGATGTTCATGAGGAAAGGCATTTGTGGGATGCTTTGACTTCCCAGGCCCAGAGATAGAGACCAGAGTTCAGAAATTGGAGTCCACAAGCTGGAGTCCAGGAACCAGGGTCGAGAGTTCAGTATCCAAGGCAATAGCACAGGACCGTCTTCCCGAAGTGTCCCCTGGGTTGGTGTCTGAGGCCACCTGGGGACTCTGAACTCAAGGTAGTCTCACTGTGGACAAGGTGTCCTACGCTCGGCCAGCACCCAGAACTGACAGAGGCACCTGACGTGTCCTCACCTACCCCAGACCTGCCCTCCACCCTCTGGTTTGGTGGGGCCGGGGCGCTCAGCTCATGAAGTGGTCCACCCTGCTGGTGGTAGCTGGAGGGTGGGGCTGCGGTGCCTGCAGTGGTGCCAGCCCAGCCAGCGTGGAGGTGTTGCTGCACCGGCCTGTCTCGGAGCAGGAGCTGCCAAGGAGCCAGCGTTGTGCCGCGCGGAGGGTGTCAGGGGTGGTATTGTCGGCGCACAAATGCTCAACTTTATGTACTTTTAACTAGAGGTGTAACAGATGGCCCCGTTTCTGTCCAAGCCAGGGAGACTGGTGCCCATTCCGGCTGCAGCCAATCAATCCCGCCACTCTGGGGGGAGCTACAAGCTGGGCTGGGAGGCCCGGAGCCAGCAATCGCTGTCTGCTCGGGCTGGCCCGGTGCTGCCTCTGCCAGCCGCGCCGCCAGCCCCAGGAGGTGGGAAGGCAGACAAGTGGCAGTCCTGCCCAGCACCCGGTCAGAGGCCCCGAAAGGTCAATGAAGGCGCAAGCGCCCAACACACCTCTCCTTTCACCGCTGTCCTGTGGCCCCTGCTCAGGGCCCACCCCGAATCTCTAGCCCGGAGATGCTCCAGATCCATAGCTTTTGTTGTGTCCCTCACGGTGAACACCAGGCATCATTTGGGACATCACAGGACCACGGAGGGCTTCAAGAAGTGCCCAGGACAACCAGAGGGGAGGAGAAAACAACAGGCCCCAGGCATCCCAGAGCCAGGAGGAACAGGAATTAATCTTCTTACATGGATGTAGTCAGACAGGGAACACGTAGCGCCAGCCTGCTATGGCCACATCCTTTGCTAAGCATATATAAGACTGCTTCTGTCCTTGGGCGTCTCTGGGGGAGGCAAACAGACACATGGCAATTGGCATAATGAGCCAGGCCTCATAAAAATCTGCGAAAGGACAGGGAACTATCCAACCAGAGTGCCTAACCGGCCTGCGAGATGCAGGGAAGATCCCAGTGGCTGGCTGGGTCTGAGTGGGTTCTAGAGGAGAGGTAGGAGTTTTCATGCGGGTGAAGGCAGAAAGACAGCACAGCACGCCCAGAGCTGTGGTAAGAACAGGTGTGGTGAGGGTCCCAAAGATGCAGAGGTGACAGCCGCAGCGTGCTGTCCCCAGGTGGGCTCTGACACCAACCCAGGGGACACTTCGGGAGGACTGGGTGCTGCGCTGTTGCCTTGGACACTGAACTCTCGACCCTGGTTCCTGGACCAGCTTGTGGATTCCGATTTCTGAACTCTGGTCTCTATCTCTGGGCCTGGGCAGTGAAAGCAACCCACAAGTGTCTTTTCTCGTGAAGGAGTAGAGGGAGGAGGCTGGGCTGGGAGGGGACAGGCCTGGCCCACTGGTCTCTTCTCTCAGGTGCCCCCGCCATCCACTGCCCCGATCCCGGGCCAGAGGGAAGGGGGAGGAGGCCAGGCCTAGCAGCCTGCAGGCAAGAGGGCCTGGTGGCCATCGGTGCCCCTGAGAATTGTGTGCGTCCTCCGTCCCTACTCTGAAGGTCAGGGCTGGCACAGGCCGGCTCCCCTCCAGCTGAGCCCTGCCCTGCTGAGTCTCCTGCGGCTGCCTTTCCTTGGCTCCCTGGGCGGATCTCGGACTCCCTCGGTCAGTCACTCCCGGAGCCACGCTTGAGGCCACAGGGAACCCACGGCAGGCAGCCACTGTCCTGGGCCATGAGACTCCCAGCTGCGCTCGGGGCAGCAGTGTGGGCAGGCCCACACTTTGCAAGAAATGAGGTCACCTGAGTAGCCACTGAAAAAGGAGGGCTCGTAGGGAAGCACACACTTGTCATTGGAACCGGGCCTGCAAGGCCTGTGGGACAGGGAGGCTCTGGGGGACCGACTGTTTCATGCGAAGGCCCAAGGGCACCCCACTTTTCCTGTGTCTCCTTGTTGTAACAAGTGAAATTAATAATGTTTTACTGTTGCTGTGGGTAGAAGAGTAATCACTGCCTCGTTCCTAGCGGACGTACCGGTGTCCACACTGCTAGGTTGGTGCCCTCACTACCCCATTTTACATATGAGAACACTGAGGCATGCCGGGCAGTGACGGAGTGGGGTTCTCGCCTGGGCTGGTCTCCAGGGTCCCCGCTCATAACTGCCGCTGACCCCGTGTGGCACCAGCGTCCTGGTTCCTCATAATTCCTCATAACCGCAATCGCCTTTGACCGGCTGGCCTCGCAGAGCCTCTCTGCCTTGCCCTGCTCACTGCTCCGGCCTCAGTATTTCACAGTGAGTTCCCAGGAGAGGAGATCGGACCGTCCAGCTCATCCTTTAGTGCCCGGCAGCTGCCCAGCCACAAGGCAGCTGTGAGTGGAGCCGTGTGCGCTCCCTGGCAGGCAGTAGTGGCCAGCACGCCGGGCAGGTGCCAGGTGCAGGCGAGGCCGAGGGGGATCCCCAGAGCACAGCCCTGCTTGGGTTGGGGCAAGCAGAGATGGACAAAGCGAAGGACCAGCGGATGGGAAGTGGGGAGCACAAGTCATGGCCCAGGGCAGACCGCCATTTGGCTGAGGACAGTGGGGTGCACGGGGCAACGGATGGAGGCCAGAAGGTAGGGCTCAGTGAGCGTGATGGTGCACACCTGTGATCTCAGCACCTGGGAGGCTGAGGCAGGAGGATTGAAAGTTAGAGACCAACCTGGAAACAATGGGACCCTGTCTCAAAATGAAATGGCTGGAGATGAAGTTCAGTGACAAAGTACTCGCCTAGCACTTTTGAGATCCAAATTCAGCTCCCAGTACAGGGGGGGAAAGGGACTTAACTGCCTGTGTGAGGACAGAGGTTTGGACATAAGCCCATGGCAATCACAGAAGGCCTTTGAGCAAGAGAGGGATGTGCTCGCGTGTGATTTGGGGAGGACAATTCACGCCCGGGAGAGTTTCAGTTTGTGCCTCTTGTTCCACTGCAATTATTATTTTGCTATTGTTGCTTCTGAGACATTGTGTCACTCTATAGCACAGGCAGCCCTCCTGCCTCAGCTTCCTGAATGCTGGGATTACAGCATGTACCACCATGCCCAGCTTACGATTATTTTTTCAAATCTTACATTGTTATTGTTTTACACAGCCTCCTTTCACCCTCAAAAGCACCCCAGTTAGGCTAATAAAGTATCTGGCTGCCCAGCTTTGGGGCCCATAGGCTGCTGCATTAGTAGAGCTCGTGTGAACCCAAGATAAAAGCAGGATGGCAAGGATGAGGTTGGGCCATATCCAGGGAAGGAGAGGCAGGGAGGGTGGAATCCAAGGGATGCAGTCAAGAGACCAGGCCGTGTAGACCTGGCCAGACCGGAGGGTGGAGTGGACTGGGGAGACTGGGAGGGAGGAAACAGAGCCCTAAGACCCCAGAGTCTGAGTGCAAGGCTTGCTGGAGATCAGGGAATCCACTCTAAGGTGCTCAGCAGGAAGTCACACAGTCCAACTCAGCTCAGAGCTGTTGTCTGTCAGAGTCCTTCCAGGGGGACGGGTAGCGGGGGCCAGGGCAATGGCGAGCTTGCCAGAGAGTATCAGAGTGGGACAGGATGGAAACTGACCTGGGAGATCCCTGTATTTAGGAGGTTGGAGGAAGGAAAGAAGTCAAAGGAATCTAAAAAGGAGAAATTGGGAAGTTAGGAGGAAAACGAGGGAACCGGGTGGCTGGAGATCACAGAAGTCTTCTGGGGAAAGAACCCAATCCTGTAGAACGGCCAGTAAGGAGGACAGAGTGAATGGCCAGTGGGCCGGCTGTCTGCAGACCACCAGTGACAGAGGAGCACTGCAGCCCAAGAGAAGAATGGATGGGGCAGGAGGTGCTTAGGGCCACTCTGCACTCGCTACGCTTGTCCAGGAGGAAGACGGGGAAGTCGAGAGGCACACTATGTAGGAGGACAAGCGCGCACAGAGAACATGGGGGCCCCAGAGAGGAAGAGGCAGGGCCTGGATAGAGATGGGAGGAGGGGAGGTCCTGAGGCAGGCTGGCGGGTTTGGGGATGGGTAGAGAGGGCATCGTGTGAGGAGTGCCCCACATCTGGCCAAGTTAGGGGGACAGTCTTCTATGGATGGAGAGAAGGGAGTCTGCTGAGGGACTGTCCTGGGATGCGCCTGCAGGTAAAGGCAAGGAGCTTTTCTGCCAACTACCGCGGAAAGGGGTGGCATGGATGAGCCGTTTCTCAGTGCCAGAGGAGGGAGTGCAGCGGTGGGCAAGCAGGGAGAAGGCTGAGGCTGGGGCCCAGTGCACGTGGGCAGGAGCGAGCGACACAGGACAGGGCTCCCAGGGTGACAGGTGCAGGGCAGGAGGTCCAAGGCCACATGCAGAAGGGCTGCTGAGGCCCGGAGGGCGGCAGCTACGCCATCAGCCAGCAGGAGGAGGGTCCAGGCTTCTGCTGGGGCCATGCCGCTCTCACACCTCTGGTGCCGCAGGCGTCAGTGTCATAAGTCACACCAGGGGCACACTTGCTTTATTTTAAAAAATGAAACATTTGAATAATCAAAACAAAAGCAAAACATAATTTCAGCCCTCAGAAATCACAAAAGAAAATATATTGATGAATACACTCCCAGATCTTGAGATTTGAATTTTTATTGTTCTTTTTAAGCTTATAAACAACAGAAATCCATTTCTAACAGTTCTAGAGACTGGAAAGTCCACGATCAAAACTCTGTTAAATTTATTTGGTGTCTGTTCCTCAGATAGTGCTTCTAGCTGTGTTCTCACATGGCTAAATGTAGAAAAAAGAACCTATAGAGGTCAGGTGTGGTACATGCCTATAATCCTGGTACTCTGGGAGGCTGAGGCAGGAGGATTGCAAGTTTGAGCAAAGTCTGAACAATTTAGCAAGTTAGACCTGTTTCAAAATTAAAAAAAAAAGAAAAAGTTCAGGAATGTAGCTCAGTCTGAAAGCCTTGGGCTCAATCTCCAGTACTAAAAAAAAAAAAAAAAAAAAATAGCACATTATATGTTCATAATGGTTCTTAAAGTTAGTTTTAATTTTAGATTTACAGAAAACTTGCAAAGATTGCACAAAGGTAGTTTTCATTTACCTTCACTGGGGTCTTCCATACCATGGTCAGTTTTTCAGTGCTCAGAGACCAGCTTTGGTGCATTACTGAGAACCGAATTCCAGGCCTGGCTTTCACCGAGGTGCATTAGCACCCTCTCCTCTCCAGAACCCGTCTGGGGCCACCTCGTGCACATTCAGCCTATGTGGTCCTGACATTCCCATGCTGTCTCCTCCACCTCCTCAGTTCTGTGGTCACCTGTATTCTGCTGACAACCCACTGCTGCCAGTCCACGGAGAGGTACTAAGGATGTTTCCAATTTTTCACTTTATAGACAAGGCTGATATGAGCCCCTTGAATCTAAACTGCCTGCACTGTCTCTGTCTGTGCCTTCACAGTAAATCCCTAAGCGTGGCATTGTGGGGCGGAAGGTCTCGGCCCCCGGGGGGGGCACCGTGCCAGCCTGTGCTAACTCTCCGCACCAGCGGTGCTGCCCTTCATTCTGGGACGGGAGGCACAAGGGAAGCCACAAAGCCCTGGGCAGGTGTCTGTGCTGAGTCCTCCCTCGCCACCCACACCCGCAGCTCTTCTCCATCTGGGGCGGGACTTGAGTGTGGCCCCGGGCTGGAGCTGGGAGGGGCGCAGGGCGCCTGCTTTGTTCTCCTGCCAG